TGTTCTTATATTTCTTAGCTGAATATCAGAATGAAAAATATTGAATTGTTTGAACATTTTTATTTCTGTTCGTCAGAAAACAAAACTGGGACACACGTATTTCAACCCAGGTGTTGTGCAATCGTCCCGAGTAAGTAGAAGTACACAGGGGTGTGTGCTGCATGAAAAAGTGCCATACTTATTTCCCCCTACTGTAATTACTAGCACGCTAACTTGGGAATGATTTAGTGCTGTACCTTGAATGTAACTATGAAGGAAGAATGAACCACCTAACCTGCTTATTATAACGTTCCAATTCCGAGAGCTTTAAGTGTGGGTCGTCGCGATCAATGTTTGTCTGTATGTGTACTTTCAGTCCCACGTGTAGACCTGTGAAACTTACAAACCGTGAGCCTGTACATATATATCCGCACGTTTTTCAGCGACTCTACTGTTGGTTACCATATTTAATCCAACTTTCCGAAATCAATATCACAATGCATTTCGGTGACTCGAACAGAGATCTTCAGTATATAATACCAAACACTAATTACCTTTGTCTAGATAGTTTCAATCGATATAGCATTCAAATACTAATTTGTTTGATTATTTGTATATTGACTACTTCTTAATAATCAATTCAAATTCATTAAATCATAAAAATCATTGATATCAATAAGAATAACAATTACATTCCCGGTTTATCTAGACTTTTCTCTCTGTTATAAAAAAACAAACAAATATGCAGTTAATAGAGCTTGAGAAAAAAGCTAAAAAAAAGAAGAGATATATACCATAACTTTGTGAGCAATGAATGATAGCTTATGTATAAGAAAGCTTGATTGCTGATGTATTGCTAATTGGGATTACGTTTGAATACATACAGAAAAATGTTATTTATAAGTGCTTTGTTAAACTTAATACATTATTTATCGATATTAAAGATCTCTGACTTAGTTAGTAATAAGAACATAATGGAATACGTTACTCGGATTTTGTTATTACATATATATTTAACGGTTTGCTGATTTTTAAAATGGATGTTCATTACATTTTGCCTTATATTGGTCAGTTAATCTATATAAGTACATTTTATCCGAATATCTCATGCAGGTTCCTAAGTCACGTTGTTAATTTATTTTTCAATTCCATTTTTGGTTTATTCGCAATTTTTCGAGCAGCCCTCCCCACCTCAGATGGTCCAGTGGTAAGATTGGGGGTTTAAAAAGCGTAACTTTGTTCCATTGTCTAACGAGCTTAACTACAAGTAATATTTATCACAGTTGCGAAATATAGTAATCAAAGTTTTTACTACAAAATTTACGCGTTTTCTGATTCGAAATGCAACTGAAAGAAATATGAAATCGAAAAGAAAACTGCTTTTAGAATTCAAACAAACGATAGGATAAGACTTCAAGAATTATTGTTTTTTAAACAACTCAAGTAATCTTTTAATAGACCAATTTGATTAGCACGTAAGTTTTAATAAAATAAATTCAAATATATTTTAACTCTATAAAAACGACAATTAGAAATTTAACTATAAACTTGGGAACACTTTTGCTACAAGGTGGTTGAAATAATGCATTTATTACAAAAAAAAGTAAAAGGTATTCTCTCTACAAGGATTCTTACTTGAAGTTTCGAAAAGTTTCTATTCACTTAGTGTAATGTTTAGTTAAATAAAAATATCAACAGATTAGTTTTGTGTGTATCAAAGTTCGAAAATACGCTTTACTGTATAAGCATTTAGAAAAATCGCTTCTATCTTACAATTTATTTTACTTTCTTTCCAGTTTAAGGAGCCTAGTTGAGAAAATTCCTCAGCTCTGTTATTCAGTATTTTGTTGGTTGCATTTCGCGTGGGAATACTCGGGGGTTATCTGCGTTAACCGTTCGTAATTTTGGAGTTATAACCTAAAAGAAAGACAATAAGTTAATACCACCCCAATATGCTACTTGAATCGAAGAGTGGGATTTTACCGTTAATCTAATAATGCACACACGGCTCCAAAGTGCGGGACCCGAACCATAGAAAATCAGTTCGTAATCCGAACTGTTAAACACTAGGCACAGCTCGGCCCTTTATTGAGTAAATAAAGTAAATAATTAACCTTCAAATTGACAACTTGTTTTTATACCGTTCACTACTGGTGGGGTCACATGTTGCATTAAATTGATTAATTTTATGTTTTTGTCTGTTATAACACACACATTGTAAAAAAATTGGCCAAGAAAATTCGATGAAATCACTCATTTCCTAAGTATAATACACAGAGAATCCGAAAGCAATTAACGGGTTTATTGCATTATTGATGGTATTTTTTTTACATTCTTACTATGACTTATATGTCACGAACTAACGAGAAACTTGGTGCATAAATATAGTTTAGAAAAATATATTTCAAAAGCAATAGGGATTATTACGGATCCCGCCCTCTACGGATAGATTATTATTAAGTTAATGTTATCAATAATGTATTCCAACCGACAATATATATTTTAATACGCTTTTCAATGCAGTTAATATTTTTTACAAATTTTGTAGAGTTTAACAGAAAGATGAGTTGCTAAAGAATAATTATATAATACACTAACAATACCATAAAATGTTTAGAAATCCTAGAATTACAGTTTTAAAGGTAATCGTTAAGAAAAACTAAAATAAAACTGACTTACTTTGAGAATCATTACTGGGACTATTATAAACACTAGTCTGCTTCTAACAGTGAAATGATAGGAGATTCTTTCCTTATAATACAAACAGCCACTTCATATAGCTTTAAAACATATACAACCCCACAATAGATCAGTGATAAGAATAAATAGTTATAATGCTACAAACCGAGGTGTGATATCAGCGTATAGTCACAGCAAGACACTCTCCTTTTTTGTGATTAACAAGAAAGAAACAATATATATATATATATTATTGAACTTCAAAATATTCTCATGTTTCAGCTGTTTAATAATATTCTAGTTCGTGTTTACAGAATGAGAGAGAGAAAGGTATTCATTATATTATCCTGTCATTTAAAAAAGCTTCCAATGCTCATTTTTTATCCAAGTACTACCAAAGAGCAGTTGAATAAAAATAAAGTGTAAATTCAGGGAGAAAAAAACATTTGAGTGCTTGACTATCACATTTACTTTATTTAACAAATATTCATTATCTTTATTTTTTATTCCTTAATTATTACTTCTATACTGTTTCTTTTTTGTTGTTCATTTTCCTGTACATCAGCATTGTTAAAATTCTTGGATAAACAAGCTTCGACTTCATTATTTTTGTGTATATACACAAAGGAAATGTTTCAATAAAAGATAACATCACACACAGTCGGCTTTCTACACGTGATTTTATTCAAACTTGAAAGTTGTTTTCTTTAAGGACTTTAGAGATAATTCAATGGATCAACTTAGGCTGAAACAACACTGACATTTAGTTTTCAATATAATCTCAATTGTAAAATGAATAAAATCCAGAACAATTAAAAAACTTCAAACGAAAATGGTAAATTGAATATGAGTGCTGAAGTTTCATTCAATTCCATTACTCAGTTTAAAATATTGTGTTCAACAAACGTTAAACAAATAAATGGATGTGTATCATGAAATTCATAAGAATTGCATATATTAACAGTCACACCTATAATCTCTACAAAATTAATTTTACACTATCTACTTGAAAAAAAAACACCCACTTTATAAAGAATTTACTGAGTGGATTTTAAAACAACGTTTCTGCGGAGTTTTAATGTTGTTGTTGTTTCCTTATTATACGACATAGATTTATAGTCACACAAAATATAAATAGACACAACCATTGTTGAAAGTGCATTCAACTGGCTTAAACTTAAAAATTGGTCATTTAATCTTTTTAAATCTCTAAAGTATATTGGTAGTCAGTTAGATTTTGAAGCGTTAAGAAATAAGAATAGGCGATAAGCCAAACTCATTTAAGTACATCGTAAGAAACAAACTTGGTATAAAAATATTATCCACAAGCAAAATAAGGGCAGAGAAATAGAAGACATACATTCAACAGACAAGCAGGTAGACAGACAAACAAACAGGTAGATAGTTAGGTTAGAAACTGTAGATATAGAATAAGAAAGAAGTTTGAAATAATTAATACCGAACAACTTGACGAACAAATAAACGTTGGTCAATAAATATAAATATCTGTGACTCTTGGTAAAGAAAGAAGCTAATCAAATAACGATTCCTCGAGACATACATATTTCCAATACGAATAAATATGCTGCCTAAACTCATAATATTTATATGTATATTGACGTTAACAGGATATCCGAGCTTAGTGTACACTTATTCATCTTCTGAGATAATGAAATTCACTTTTCCAAACTGTATATATATATATATATATATATACATATATATATTATGTTAGTTTTAAACTATTATAGTTACAAAATACTTAATTGTTAAAATCCCTGTGAATTAATAGAGTGTTATTCTGAAGTCCCTACAAGTTACACTATAAACAGGTCAAAAATGTGATCTTTGAAGTGAAAGAAATTGTACAAAATATACTGTGAAACCACTGCATGTTACACTATAAAGATGTCAAAAATGTCATATTTGAAGCCAAAGCAGTTGTATAACACCCATAAACACAGCTTATTAGTATGTGTAAGAGGTACACGTGAGTTTGATTTTAGTTAGAACATGTAAAGGTTTTACCCAGAAAATACTGTGTCATAATCTACAAGACAATCAAGTAGAAGGCATCATTGCATGGTCTTTCTCTTTAGCTTCATTTGAGTTTTATTTACTATTTTAAATTATTTTTCAGTGGAATTTCAACACAGAACAACACAAGACGATTTTTGTTTTTTGCATAAACTTTAAGATGAGAATAATAATAGTCTTAGGTCGTCAAACATAGTATCATCTTAAGAAATATAACTGTTTATGTTCAGAAAAAAGAACAAATAAGTGTATGAACATTACTTGGTAGTGTTATATCTATACAGAAAAGAAAAAATCGAACTTACTTTGAAGCCAGTAATATATCCTTTCTTCTAAATATTTCGTTAGGGTCTGAAACGTTTCGAGACAAATATTCTGCCACCTGGCGTGAAGGAAACTCAGTTTCACAGACATAACCAAGATCTCTAGCAAGGTGGATTGCTTCTCCTGGACAACATGTTTAAATTATAAACATTTCTTTTAATTATTGAAAGTATTCCCACTATACTACATTTTGCTTCAGATATTCTGACCACTTCATTTATCAGTTAGTTTCGTCTAAGTGTGAAGCAAGATTTTACACAAAGCCAAAATCAAAAATATATCAATGAAAATCGTTTAAAAACTTCAGTATATTTCTCCCACTTCAGCTAAATCTTTATTTATGATTTTAAAATATTTTGGGGCGAATTTTGAATAGGGACTGACCAACATTTACGAAATACAATGTTATATGAAGAAAATATAAATGGAATACATATATAAATACGTGTACAAAGCCTAGTATCCTTTTGAAATAAAACATAACTCGAACAATCGCATATGTAATATATATCTCACAAAAACAATATATCTACGCGTTAAGAACATATAACAAAATTAAAGTATATAAAACTCACTAGTACCAGTAGCTAGAAGTCTTGATCTCACCTCCCCACACACACACTTTAAAACCCAATTGTAGACTGAAGTGATTATCTCTATTATGATAATTAAACAACACAGTCTTATATGTGTTTAATAACTTATCTACCAAACAAAAAACGAAATAACAGTGTAACATATTGTATTTAACATAAATATTGTAAGAATGTTAAATCTAAACAACTTCTATCTCAACATCAATGTTCTTTTTTTTTTTGAAAAACAACAACGTAAAGTAGTTTATGAAAAAATGTAGAAATATATATATATATATATTTGTTACTGAATTTTGTCTGGGATAATTTTGTTGCCTTATTCATGAAATTAACGAAAGTTTTTAGTAAATCGAACACTAACATCTCTTACAAAAAAAAAATCAGTTTTTGTCTGGAAGAAAAACTTATCTAACTTACCTCTTTCCACTACATGATCTAGATATACGCATTTTAAATTAAAACTATCTTAATATGGATACAGTCTTCCTGTCTATCTTTTGGAAGGTTTACGGTCGTCTAAACAATCGACACAAAGATACAGATATGCGTTAGTTATAATACCTGGCGCCATGTAAATTAACATAACCAAGAACTGGTGTTAATTAAGTAGTGTCTCCCGTAGATTGATCGGCTTACCTTCTACGAGGGAGGTAAGTAGAGTGACGTTGGCAGCTTTCCGACGACCCGCAGGAAGATTCAGACCAATCTTCTCCAGTTTATCACGAAGGCACTTCCCCCCGTTTTTAGACTTGGCCCTGAAGAAAACAATGGCACTCATAATATAAGAATACGTTGAAGATTACAAAGTTGTGTTAGCACTGAAAACAAGTTACTATTTTCATTAATTCGTAGACGAACCATCTCGGGAATTACGTGTTTCATTATATTAAATAGAAAACAAGTAGTTAAAAAAAATAAAGTGAATATTTCTGAATTAATTCGCCCAATCAGTTTTTAAAATATGTAGCAGGTGTTCATTATTTAGCTCGTTGACTGTTTATCTCTGAGAGAATACAAACTGTAGCAGTTTAAAATATCTGAAATATTGTTTTTTTAACAAATAAGAAACAGTATTGGTGTAAGTGTAAATGTGTATATTTAATAAACGTATGCGGAAACTGGTCATAATGAAATCGTTATAAATCATCCTTAAGTAAAAAAGAACAATAATAATATCCTTTGTTCATAAATGGGAACAATTTATCATGAAATAACCTTTTGTCTTACGTTATTCTATCATTAAGAGAAACGGGTCACGTGGTTTATTCTGTAAAACTAGTTAGTTACAAAAAAGGAAAAAAAAATCAAAAATCCATGCTAAAAGGAATTTCTTAGGAAGAAGTAAATTTTTACATTAATGCATCCTTTTAACCACAGAAAGAAGTCATTAAGCGTGAAAATAAGGTAAAGGACGGCTATTTCTGAAGTAATTAACCAACCTTGGCAAGCAACATATCACCAAGCAAGTCACTATGTCGAAGTAGAGAAAAAGAATAGATTGGTTTTGTGTCATAAATTTACTGTCTCTCTCTCTTTTTTTTTTTTTTTTGCAAAAGTTTGATGACATTAGTACCCTATCCGTAAACGTACTTGTATTTTGATTTACTAATTTCACATGCATCCTTATGCATCTACTTTCAAATCTACGTAAGCCTAACATTAATTCTTTAGTTAGAAACTGATAAGGCTCTGGGAAAAAAATAATAATTGAAAAAAAATAATAATATATTTAAGTAAAAAATATATCTTCCACAGAATGTTATAACAATTCAACGGTTTATTAAAATAATATATCCCAACAGAAGAAACATCTATATAACCCAAAACATTTCTTGAGCAATGTTTCGTTGTTTGTCAGATACTTTATGGAAAAACGTAAATACTTTTATTGCAGTCAAGAAAAATTATGTTTTTGTGGAAATTAGTTTATATAATGCATGTTTAGTATGATAAAAATATCTTTCTGATATGGGGATATCTATAATGCTAACGTTTGCGAAAATAATGGCCAAAATACTGTACAAGATTTATAAATTTGCTTAAGGATGAAGTTCACTGCAAATAACTTATTACAATGAGCTACAGGTTTAGACCCTGAATCAGTAATAATGTAAACGAAGAAAGAAAAAAACGTAACTTGATGTACATATAGAGCCAAAGGGTAAAAACAATTGTTACAACAGTATACTTGGTTTGTCTTATTTATTGTTTTATTACCCACTAACATATCTTCACGGTTCTAAATAAAATATATCACTTTCGCCTTTTCAACACGAAATAAATAATCAACCTTATCAAACATAACATTTAGTTTTATGTGGGGCATAGCTAATGGGTAAAACAAAAAATTCAAGTGCTTTAACCATTGTTGAAATTGCTGCCTATTCTGCATGGCTGGTTTTAAATAAGTAGGGTTATAACTGGACTTGTCTCTTATAAGTATGCCTCGTTAAACTCGAAGTCAAACTTGTTTTTACCTTGAAATAGTAAATTTAACAACAGATTTTCCTTTCACGTCTAAAAACCCCAAAAGTTAGGGAAAATAAAGGCTTCCTGTGGAAGTTAGAGCTTTGTATTATATAATATTAAACATAACTTCCCCTGAACATTTTCACATTAGATTTCTATAATGTATCACATTCAGTTCTTCTTTATAATGATAATAAAAAAAAGGCAACTAACAGTTGTAAATTGGGATTTTTTGTGTGATAGTGGCCGGAATTCGACATTAGTTATACTTAATATAGGGGCTGATATGCTATCCACTCGTCTGGGGGTCTCCCCCAAAACATCTAAGATGCTAGGTTGTAATCATTTAGGTGGACGTAGTAGGATTCTTTTATCTTATCTTTCTTCTCCGAGATTTATAGCCCATTATTTTATATTATTCTATTTTATTCTGTGCAGATACATCAGCATTAAAGAGTTTTTTTTTGTACATCTACTATGTACCTGAATTGTAACTTTCGTTGATCTTTTTATTTCTCTAATGTATTGAAGTTAACATTAACAAAAGATATTGTAAACTAGCTGGAGTACCCTTACCCTGGACTGAAGTTATGCAAATTCATAATTAATGAAAGGTTATCTTAGAACACAAAGAGTTGCTTCCCTTATATATAATTGTAAAAAACGCAAAAACGCCCATAAAAACACAAAATGTGAAACCGTAAATTTGCATGTATCTCCACGTGGATCCGACAATCCCTCATGCCAAATTTGGTGAAGGTCCATCAATAGGGAGCAAAGTAATGATAACAAATGCAAAAACGCCCATGAAAACCGCAAAACTGAAAATTTGTATGTATCTCCCCATTGACCCAATAAACCTCCATACCAATTTTGGCGAAGATCCATCCACACCCTGTGAAGTATTTACGTGGACATACAACATACAGTACTATTATATTTATATAGATGTTCTCCGCTGTGTCTTTCGGTGCTCGGGTGTGTGGTAACTGCGAATATATTGTATTTTGTCTTTTGAATACTTTACTGACGTTATTCTATGCTTATTTTTGGTATTTATCTTCTTTATCAAGTGCTCAGAATATCCTGTGTCAAGAAGGGTTGCAATGGTGTATTTTCATCTTTCATCTTAGCAATACTGTATTACAAATCTTGTTCATTCTGGAGACTGTTAGTGTGCTTTGAATTATAGTCAGATATTTATAAATATCTGTGGGTTTCCTGTAAACTTCTGCGATATACGAGTATTGGTGTATAACGTTAGAAGGATTTTACTGATAAAATGTTACGTCATTTTGTGTGATGGTAATATGATGTAGTGAACATATGCAAAAATATCTAAACCGAATTACTACATTAGAATATAAAGTTTTATTAACCCACAAGCTCTCAAGTCTTAAAAGAGCTTTTTATCAAGTGGAGTAGGTTAGTTTTTTGAATTTCGCGCAAAGCTACACGAGGGTTATCTGCGCTAGCCGTCCCTAATTTAGCAGTGTAAGATTAGAGTGAAGGCATATAGTCATCACTACCCACCGTAAACTCTTGGGCTACTCTTTTACCAACGAAAAGTGGGATTGACCCTCACATTATAACGCCCCCATGGCTGAAAGGGCGAGCATGTTTGGTTTGACGGGGATTCGAACCCGCGACTCACAGATTGCGAGTCGAGCGCTCTAATCACCTGGCCATGCCAGACTTATCAAGTGGAATTACCACACTAACTGAAAAAACGTTTAAAAAGATATCAGTCGTGTAAAAAAAAAGAAAAAACATAAGCTCAAACATGCATTGCTGATAAGGCGTGTATCAACAATATTGTATAAATTTATTTGTTAATTTGCAAATATTGTATAAAATTAGTTAAGATCAACTTATTTACCTGCGATACGTAAATTCACAATTTTGTAAAACATACAGATGTTGGCAGTAAATACAAATAATGCAAGTACAATTAATACATATTTAATAGAAAACACCTAAGGTGTGAAAAAAAAGGTGCGGCCAAAAAGAATCTCCTATGATTAGTACTTATTATACTTAGATGTATTAAATAGGTGTAAGGTGTCTAAATCTCTGTTTGGTGAGCACTATATACACACTACTGCTACATTATTGTTGTTTGTAAGAGTTACGTCGATCGCTATATTTACATTTTGGGTTTATAAACTTAGTTGTGTTACAGCTAACGTTGATTTTTATAAGAGGGTTATACCTCTGTTTTTTACTTTTTCTATATTTTTTTATGGTGGAGTAGCCAGGATACTTTAACTTATTATTTGTTGTGACAAGGGTCTCAGTTATAAATAAAATATCTGCGTTAGTATGTATATATAAAGATTAAGCGTACGACTTGAAGGAATGAAATCAAAATTATCAGCCAAACTGGCAGCTATACTTGTAGCATTGGTAAAATTTTACACGAAATATCCATTCATTAGTTAGCCAGGCAGCGTTTTTTTTTGTTCAACTTGGGGCATGGTGGTGGGTAAAACAAAATATGTGGCCTAGCTAACTACTAATGAATAGTTGCTGTAAAATTCTTATCAATGCTATATGTGTAGCTACCAGTTTGACCGCCATTTGTGGTTTCATTCCTTTAAGTCACACGCTAAATCCTTTTTTGGCCGCGCCTTTTTTTTTTTCACACCTAAGGTGTGTTTGACAATATATCATGACGTTTTGTCAATACACACTAGCAGACCACAGCAAGTAAAAAAGTGACACTCGATAGTAGCCAACATTAGCTTTAGGATCGCAACCCTCTTATTCGGAAAAGACCTTTACTTTATAGAACCAACCAGATTCTTAAAAATATATGGTGGTAGTTTTCCTCTCTAAAACAGTGTTAATAACCTCCTTTATTGTAACGCCACGGAAACTAAATTACCAGTTTCTTGTCACCGCCCTCATGTATTCGGTAAACGCTCTTTGATTAGGAGAATTTCATAAAATTTAGCAAATTTGTCTTCAAAAGTTGACAATGAATAATAACCGTCCACCCTATGTTTCTTTTAAAAACTTGAGCTAGAAACTTCTAATATAGTTTGCTTGGCCTAACCAATAGTTATGCATCTGCACGTGCCTTCACTCTATAGTTTTGGTGCTCTGAATTAGCAGTCTTCAATCCGAATGGCAAAAAACTAAAAACGGTCTACCTTTGCTTTTAAGTAAAGCTGTAATAAAAAATTTAGACTGATAGCTCACGTGACGTTTTGCGTAAGCGTGCGCAAACGTTTTGGTCAAAATTGAGCGGTTTTTGTTGAATAATTTTGCACATATGGCTTATATTCAGGTTAAATTTGGCAACTAATTGTAGGTTGTAAAAACCTATCAGTGTACCAAGTTTGAAAAAACTCTATGAAAGTTAAATATGTTTTTCTATCAAATAAAATTTCCGTACTTTCGATGCGAAGAAAAAAAAAATTGGAAGAAATTCAATCAAACTTCGGGATTTTATATCTCGTGTATTTCCTAATAGATTGCCTTGAAATTTGGTATGTGAAATAAAAATCTAAAAATATGTGATGGTCTGGATTATCACAGTCCGAGCTACAGAAAGTGGAAAATCGCTAAACTATGACTCCTGTTAATATTATATTTTGTACTACATCAAGTTATATCAAGACACACGGTGGTGTGTCGTGCGGCCAAAACAACCTGCAGGATACACCATGTACTATTAACAAGAAACGATAAATATGTCTCAAGGAATTAAGTAACATAGTGTTCTATTGTATACAAAACCTGTCGCATAATTGTCCAATTGAACTATGCTATAGCGGGTTTTGTAGTATTTGAAATATTTTACGATAAAATCTCATCTCAACTTGTGTGGGTGTTAGAATGGTTTTAGTGGTTAAATATCAAAACAAATTCTGTTGTCTTCGAAATAGTTTAGTTCTGAAACGTCACATCATCCTGTGCAGTGTTAGAAATATGTCACAAATGAATGTCACGTAAACTTGTGTAACATTAAACAAATTTTTCTGACAAAATGTCACATCAATTTTTGCAGTATCACAGTGATTTACTAGTGAGCTGGATCTAAATACTAGACCAATACATTATTTTGTATGATATCTTATAGACTTTCGCTGATGTCACGTTAATGTTTGAAGTGTTAATCGGATTTTAGTATTTAAATATCACATACAGACTATCACATCAATTCTGATATGGTACAATGCTCAATAGCCACAACATTTGTGACGTTTTAGCTCATAACCAAGCACACATATGGCGTATACCTACCGTCTGAGGACTCCTCCAAGCAAAGAGGCATTGAGGCATTCTGGAGGAGCTAATCGCCGCTGGATTTCTCCTACTGTTACCTTGTACTTCGATGTCGAGCTTAGTAGGGACAGTCGCCCCGGTACCGAGCAGAAGACGTCGGATGGTGCTGCTAAACCTCCTAAAAATATGTTCTTTTGATTTTCACCATTACGTGGTTTGATACCTTAAAATGAAAAAGAAAATGTTTCGTTTTTTGTACCCACAAGCTAGTTCTTCGGTTACGAGTGCCTCCGGTAACAAAGATATTTTAAATAACTAAAAGTTATTTCACTATAATGTTGTATCAAGAATACCGTTTGCTACGTTGATAAGAATATTGTCTAGGTATTAAAACATTTCACTTTAGCATCAAGTTATAATAAACCATGAGACTTTCATCGCCGTTGATTGTGAGCTCACTTTTAAGAAAAGACTAAAATACTATCACTGTCTTCTAAACGATAATTCATACACCTTTAACTTATCCAACTATGTTCACAGGTCACAATATTCCACTTATATAAAGAACTAGGAACACTATACAAGGAATCACACAAGCAGTCTTCTCTTGAACTAAAGGCATGTTTGTTTTTCATATACATATACATTACATACACACAAACATATATATATATCATATATATATATATATATATATACGATCGTACTTATGTACGGTGTAGAAAAAGCAGTAATTTTTTAAAATAATGGCTAGAAAGTTATGAATCTGTGAAATATAAATTTAGAGAGAAAACAAATTTTGTAAGATAACTAGTTTTTGGATCGAAAACACACTACAAACTACATGCTTTTTTCTCATATTACAAAAAGGTAATAATAACGATAAAAAATCAGCTACATTATCACACTCACCTTTTCTAATAACACTGTTGTGATCACCAGCAAAAATATTATTTGCATCTTCAACTTCCGTTGTCTGTGTTACAAAATAAGTTCAAACTCAGTTATCTGGTTATTAGTATATATTCAAACATAGTGAAGTGCTAATAGCATATTTTCAAACAGTGATTTAGCTGGTTTAATATATTTTTAGCATACAAAGACTGTTCATAGGATATATATAATTAAATTCAATGAACTAGTTAGTAGAATATATTGAAACACAATGAACCACATAGCCAGTGTACATATTTAAATTTAGAGAAGCAAGTTAGCAAACTATATTTAATTAAACTGATTGAACATGCCCGCGGGATTGAATCAAACACAGTAAACGGTCTATTAAGATATCACGAATTAGTTAGCAGTACGTATTTAAACTCAATGATCTGGCTAGTAGGATATAATCAAACACATGGTAAATTGGCTAGTAGAACAAATTTAAACTCAATAAATGGCTATTAAAGTATATTCAAATACAATAAACATTTAAACTCGGTGAACTAGTCAGCAAAATATCTTCACGTTTAGAAAACTGGCTAGATAATGGCTAAATGTATTGGCTAATAAATTAATTGCAGCAAATGATGCTACAAATTCAGAAAACTGATAAAATGTATTAAACTTAGTGACTGACTACAAACAAAATGTATTAAGTCAGTAACGTTATTAATATATATATATATTAGAGTTGAATAAATTATTGGAATGTTGTATTCCAATTAACGAGAATAGCGTTTAAGATGTATTTAAATTCAGAAAACAGGTTGCCAATTTTATTTATATTTTGTGCGAAAGCTTTTGAAATGTGCTCATTTCATGTGTACTGTTTGGTAAGATACGTTCAATACCATGAACTAGCAATTATATTAAACAATAGTAGACTATGTTGTGAGATGTATTTAGTTTTAATAAACTGGCTATTAAGATGTAACTAAGTAAACTGAATGGTACAACTTATATTCAAATATAATGAACTAGGAAGTAAGATATCTTAATATCTATGGCACTAGCAGGTGAAATATTTTAAACCTAATTCAACTGGCTTAGTGTAATATATATTAAGATTAATTGAACTAAATGGTAAAATAAAATTAAGATAGCTGAGTTGAATAGTAAAATATGTTATAACTCATTGAACTGCTTTGTGAGATATATTCAAAATTGTGGACAAACTGGTTAAATACAATGTACAAAGCAATTAAAGAATGATTGAAATTTGTAATACTTTAACTACGACGAAGCAAAACCACTGTTATAAAATAATGTCAATCACCTCTCAATTTATATTTATATAATCAAGCACCTAATTGTCATGTGATCTGAAATGCAAATGACTGGTTATTTAACCTACGTTCGTGAAAGAAACTATGGTAGACGTGACTGTGCTTCTTTACAGTTCATAATTTTCACTTCAGTACGGAATACGAGCAGCAATAGTATCTCGTATGAGTGTTGAATATTTAAAATCAGAGAGTGCTAATAAAGTCCTATGCGATCCAGGATCACTATTATCAATATTGTTTTTTTTTCTTTAGTCACTTCACAAGTTGCAACGTACACCCTACATATGTTCGATGGAATTGGAATCCAGGATTGTGCAGGCCAGTCCAGTCAGCGATTGATTCCTTCTTCTTTAAGGAATGTAACAACACGTTTAGCATGATATGGATTAGGTGTTGTCATTCCATTTTGTCTGAAGTAAAGGCCAATTGCATATGGTAGTTCAAAACGTTATAGGATGTAGTCCCTATCATTAATGGTATTATTCTGGAGAATATAGAGGTTTGTGCGTTGATGAATACTTATTTTTGTTCACATCATACGTATATTACTGCTATAAGTGTCATGTTGTTGTATGAAATTGGGTTTGGATCTGGTCCCTGATCGTGTTCAAATGAATGTATAATTCTTATATGGCTGCAAGGTAAAGCACAACTGGTCTATAAAAGAATATTACTCCACATGTCATTGGTCTGTTGTCACAATTACAGACGAACTGCATTGTGCCTTGTTGTAAGAGGATGTCATATAACTGGGTGTCTACTATACAGGCTAAACTTATGTAATCTGTTTTTAACTATCGTTACGCTGTCATAGCGTCCAATTACAATTCTGAACATCTCAGCATCGTAACAGGTATCAAACGTTTACAGGCAAACCAAAATCGACAGATAGCAGCCGTCTGGTTAGATATGCTCAAATTTAGTAGACTTACTCATGAAATGTGCAATGGTTTAGTAAACTGGCTGTTATTACAACATATTCAAACTAGAATATTAGGAGGTAAGAAGTGTGCATGTCTATTGAAATGTTTAATGAAAATCACTCAAACTATATGCACTGGCTAGTACGATATTTTCAAGTTTGATGAACTGGTTATTGGAGTATTCTGAAATTCAGCAAATTGGCTTTCATGATATAACTGATGGCTTGGAAGATATATGTATGCACTAGTTTGCCCCTGAAGAAGAAAGGTCATTATTTCAAAAGTGCTCGGGTTATGTGGTTTTTATTCATTTCTATCAATACTTCTTGAACCTACGTATTTTTCGAACATGAATGTATGCACTATAAGATATATCTAAATTATTTGTAATGTGTATTCATACTTGAGTGAGTAAATAACAAGTTTTAAACAGTGTCTTGGTTATAAAGTAACAAAATAGGTTGGTTAAGGCAACATAGTGAGCTGGCTTGATAAGGTAACACTAGGCTAGATAGGAAACATGGTAATCTAGCTTTAAATGTAACACAGTGGACTAATTAGTAAGGCAGCACAGTAAATACTAATACGGTAGGTGACACAGTGAACTTAATAGTAAAGTACAATGAACTGAGAAGAAAAGCAACACATTCAAGGATAATAAGGTAACACAGAAGACTGACTAATGCGTCCATACAGTAATTGTTAATAAAGTAACACATTGGATATTTTACGAATCACGTAAATGCTAATAGGATAACGCAGGAGATTGACCAGTAAGGCAGCACAGGTATCATAATAGACTGACTAGTAAAGCAGCACAGTAAATGTTAATAAGGTAATGTAGCGGTCTAGATAGTAGGTTGATAAAGCAAGCTTTCTGGTAAGATAACACTATACCAATGCTAACCCAGTAGGTTGGTCAGTAATCTGGCTAGTAAAGTAACAGTAGTTACACACTGGCTGGTTTTAAAGGCAACACAATGGGCTAGCTAAAAAGATAACACAGCGAGCTGTCTTGTAATATAACACAATGGTCAGACGTATAGAATGTATTCGTTGCATTATAAACTCACAGTATCAACTTGAATATTTGCTTTAAATGTTTATATATTTTAACCAACTATTCAGCGTATATCAGCTTCTGGTAAGAATTTCAAATCACTTCTTCTGGAAGCAGACAAAAATCATATAGTACAATTGTGTACAGTGCTATAATCAATCACACACAGAAAAATAATTGTGTAACATTTATATACTCTATAACGTTATAGTATTACGTTACCCGGCCTGTTAAATTTAAAAATGATATTTCTGAATACTTCTAACCCGGTGGCTCTGCAGTAAGTCTGAGATTTATAACACTAAAAATCGGGTTTCGATACACGCGGTGGGCAGAGCACCGATAGCCCATTGAGTAGTTTTGTACTTAACGACAAACAAAAAAAAAACGTGTAATTTACACTGCGTTAAAACAAACTGTTTGTGAATGTATTAACTGAGCTATTCAAAAACCCTTCTTACACCAGCTATATTTTTCATGTAGGGCTAAATGGATTTTAATACTGTTATATCTTATCATTGTTTCATTACACTTGTGAACCTTTAAGAATGAACTTGATACCCCTGTGCTAACAGATATTATACAATGTAATATTTTTTTTATGTTTCACTGCTTAAAAATCGTTGATTGTAACAATGATTTAATTAATGTATAACATTAAGTGCAAATGAAAACATGACATTCTGTTGATTTTTTATTGCCAGTAAACTAATAGGTGTACTTTATGACCTCCAGCAACTTTTCTTATAGATATGTACAATAACCCTATGTTTTTGAAGGCTATTCTTTTGTATAATGTTCAAAGTTTGAACCGTTGCTGCAGGCGTTTCAAGTCAGGAAGTTAATTCCCAAACTAGGATGCGTCCTACGTGAAAAAAGAGAGAGAGAGAGAAAAAAACGCTAACTATTTGCTGAAATAAAAACAACGCAGAACAAACAAGAATGTTTTTGAGCAACCCGGATTTCTTCTTTAAGTTTCTATTTCCTGTTTCCATAACTGTTTGAATAGCATAACCTTTTTAAGGCAGGTCAACAATCGTGGTAATTTTAAAAGTCTTAGGTAGCAAGGCTATATAATTCCTCTCAGAAATATAGCTATGTGACGCACACAAATAAAGGTTGGCAGGTAACCTCATGAAGGTTGATTTCAACAAACACAAGGCTGATAAAATTAATGTCCATTATTGATGGCTAAATATTTCAGTTTTAATGGCAAAAAACTACACGTCAAATAATTTCTGTGAGCGCTTGGGTATATTGCAGTATTGAATTTGTAACACACAAAACTAGCCATAAATCGACTTCTTCGTAATTCCTTTACATAAATTTCATAAAGTCTTTGACAACGTATCAGTCCTTAGCTAAAGGAGAATAACATTCAGTAATAATATACTGTAATATTACATCACAAAAGGACTGACAATAATTTAAATCATATCATTCTTTACTGATTCGAAATGGTCTTTCTCTAAGAATGTAATATAGTAGTATTTGAATAATACGTTGTTTGTTGTATGCCGCTGCCAATAAGGCCTTTTGTTCCTTACAGGAGCTCATTAGTCTTAGTTGAAACGTTATTTAGGAGCAATGCATTTATACTCGGCTAATAAACAATAATATAACTTAAATCATTATGGGTCCTTATGTGACTTAATATTACATATGCAATTTTTTAACGTTATATTAAAACAATTTTGAATATCGAAACCAGCAAGTCACATGACTACCACAGCCTATATAAAGTCGCAGTGTAACGGTCTGCATCAGA